ACTGATCATGGGCTCCGCCACGGTGTGAAAGAAGTGGCCGCCCTTTGAGCGTGAGTGATGTATGGCCACTCCCACCTCCGCTTTTCGATGCGTCAGACAGGTGGCGATCGGCAGTGTGCCATGTTCACAACTCTTATGGCCTAGGCCATGGTTCTCTGTCTGCTTCTCTGTCTGTGTCTCTGTCTGTCTCTCTGTGTGTCTCTCTGTCTGCCTCTCTGTCTGTGTCTCTGTCTGTGTCTCTGTCTGTCTCTCTGTCTGTGTCTCTGTCTGTCTGTCTGTGTCTCTGTCTGCCTCCGTCTTTCTGTCTGTCTGTCTGTGTCTCTGTCTCTGTCTCTGTCTCTGTCTCTGTCTGTGTCTGTCTGTTTGTTTGTCTGTCTATCTGTCTGTCTGCCTCTCTGTCTGTCTCTCTGTCTGTCTCTGTCTGTCTCTCTGTCTGTCTGTCTTTCGCTCTCTCTCTCTCTCTCTCTCTCTCGCTCGCTCGCTCGTTAAAATCAGTTGTTACTTTGCTTACAAGTGCAAGTGCTGTAGTGTTCAAACAAACAGTCAACCAATGTAGTCTGCAGCTGCCAACCTTTTGACTCATGCGGAGTAGTAAGCTCAAGGCCTGCGGTAGTGAACATACATGCAACAAGAGTGCAAAGTGAAGCATGTAGTTTAACACGGCCCCTCAGTTAAAAGTCTTTGTAGTACCTTTTCAACTGAAGTGCAAAACATGGATTGACAGTAGTGATGAAAACCATTGTTGTTCATCAATTCTACTGTATTGGCAAACGTAGTGACCTGCGCTCAGTAGTTCACGCTGTTCAGGTTCCAGCTCGATGTAGGGCGCTGGACGGAAGTAGTGAAGGCAGGCACTCGTTGTAGTAGAGCAGGAGCTCAAAAATGTAGTCCCCATTTCTGGGTGCGGTAGGCTTGGACCATCTGTAGTCGACTGTCCAAGGTCGCGTAGTAGTTGGTGGTGAAAAAGGTTGTCATGTAGTTTGGAGCTCCCCGTAGTCGCTCATCATCAATCTCGGGACACGACATGTGTTGGTCGTAGTCCCGTAGAAAGCGGTGTAGTAGTGCTTTGTGGTGTTGTGTGAGGTTGGTCATTGTGAGTAGTGTGAATCCGTAGTATTGGATGCTTTTGCAGAGGATTGTAGTGATTGCTTTGTGCTGGAAGTCGTGTAGTTGGTCTCGGTTGTAAAGGTAATGGAGTAGTTCAGGTAGAAGTAGTGGCATGTGGTAAATCCAAACGTAGTTGTTCCTGAGGCTGTAGTTGTCAGTGAAGGTGGTCATGTTGTAGTTCACCTTGAAGATGGTCTGTGGCAGTGTTGTAGTCGGGAGGTAGTAGTTGTGTTGTACCGACATCATGTAGGAGATGTAGTCCCTTGTGAAGTGTAGAAATTGTCCTGAAGTGAGGTACTTCAGGAGTAGTGGTTGTTCAATCTGGAGTTGGATGATGACGTAGTTGGTGTTGTCGCCAGTTGTAGTGTGGAGTGAAGTCGTGTGGTAGTAGTGGACATTGGCTGCTTCAGGTTGTGAAATGCTGAGCAGTGTAGAATTGTAGTGTGGCATCCGAAGATCTCCAGGGATGCAGTGAATGGGTCGTGTGTAGTCCAGTTGTGCCAGTGGAGTAGCTTGTTGTTGTGAGAGTAGTTGATACTCTTCAAGTGTAAATGCAGTGAAAAATTGAGTGTAGGGAATGTTGTCGGGCAGTGGTGGTGCAGTGGTTGTCTAGTGCTCAGTGATGTGTAGTTGGTCCATCACTGTGGTCGGGTTGTAGTAGACGGTGTTGCCGGGTGTAGAATGGTTGAAGTGGTAGTTGGAGTCGTTGTAGGTTTGAGGTGGTGGAGTTCCATGGTCACTGGAGTCCGTAGTGACCGCCACCTCAGGTGTAGTCGCCCTGTCGGGCGTAGTGGCGTCTCCCATCGTAGCATCTGCAGTAGATGGAGCGGCCATGGCTGCAGTGGAATGCAAAATGTAGTGAAACGGGGCAAAACAAATGAGCCTAAGTAGTTGCTACCAGGCAGTCGGCGAATGCAGACATGTAAAACAAACAACTGTAGTGTTGACTCAAGCCGCCAAAAGTGCAAGTGAAAGTACATGTAGTTACTGTTACTTACATACCAAAAGTGTCGTGTTACATGTAGCTACTTACATACATGAAATGTCCAAAGTCGTTGTTGTTGTTGTTGTGAAACTGCTGCGCTGGTCGTTCGTAGTGCTAGATGCGTATTCCAATGCTCTGGATGAGCCTGTGTAGTGTTTCTTTGCTGATGTATTTGGTAAACAAATCTGCGCTGTTGTGGAGTGTGTTGATCTTAAGGATTCTGATGATGTCGTGCTTGATGAGGTCTTGTGTGTAGAGGAATTTGAGGTCGATGTGTTTTGCTCGTTTGCTAGTGCCTTGTCGTGTAGCAATGCTCTTGCCTGCTGTGGAGTCTGTGTGGATGCGTAGGTTTAGCTTGCTGCAAATGTTGGTTTCAAGTAGGAAGTTTCTGAGGTGTAGTCCCTCATTAACTCCTGTGCAAATGGCGTAGAGTTCAGACTCTGCTGAGCTAAGTGCTATTGTAGCTTGTGTTCTGCTGCCAAATGCAACTGTTGTTCCTAGAAAGATGATGTTGAAACCTGAAGTTGATTTCCTGGTAGTAGGGCATCCTGCCCAGTCGGCATCGACATGAACGTCGAGATCCAGGATGTTGTTGGTGTTTGCTCTGAGTGTTGTTGTTGGTTCTATGGTGAATTTGTAGTGCTTGGTGCCGTGCAAGTAGCGTAGTAGATGTTTGACTCTCTTTTGTGAAAGTTCTGTAGGTGCTGTGAGGTCTCGTGCTAGTTCTTTTGTGGAGTATGCAATGTCTGGTCGTGTGTATGCTAACCATTGAAGTTTGCCAACAATTCTTCTGTACCTTTTGTGTTGTTCGTGGTCAAGTAGTGCTTCATCTTCTATTGTTGGTTTGTAGTGTGCAATTCCTGGAGTGTTACTGAGTTGCAGTTGTTCATTCCAGACTCCTCGATCATGTTGTCGATGTAGGAGTCCTTTAGTCCAAGATTGCAGTAGTTGCCGAAGTGGTCGATGTTTCTTCCAAGAAATTGTTGTGGTTTGCCAGGTTCGAGGTAGCCGATGTGCTTGAGTAGTACCTGCTTCTGGACGGCCTCGAAAGTGGAGTCGACTGCGGTCTTGTCTCCAAGTACTAGTAGATCGTCCACGTAGACCATGATGTAGCAGTCGCGAGTCGCATTGGTGTAGACGTTGGGTTCTGACTTTAGTCTTACAAAGCTGAGCTTTTGTAGAACTTCAGCCAGGTAGTCCTGCCATGCTTTCGGTGAACTGCGTAGTCCATACATGGCTTTCTTTAGTCGCCAGATTTTGTCCTGTTGTGGACAAAGTTCTTTAGGTGGCCAAAGGTAGACGTCACGTTGTTTACCGTCGTGGTCTTTTGCGATGGGTGCGTGTAGAAATGCTGTAGAGACGTCACCTAGTCGCGCGATCCAGTTTGGTCGTGACATTTGTAGTGCGAGAAGTGTCCGGAGTGTCGTGAACATTGGTGTAGAGGCGTAGACGGAGTCTTCGTCCTCGATCTTCTCGGTGTAGCCTTTTGCGACGATTCGGCTTCGTACTCCTGGTCCTTTCTTTCTGTGTACCCATCTTGTAGGTATCGCTTCTCTGATGACGTTCTCGTTGACGGTAGACGCATCTACTTCGTCGTAGACGTCGTGTAGTTTCATTTGGTTTGACTCGTGTTTCATTCCTTCCAGTAGTTGTGTTTCGTCGTAACCTTCGTTGTCGAAGATTATGGGTTGGTCTTCTGAGGTGTCGTCGTTTGTGTAGGGAGTGATGGATTTTCCGTTGGGAAGTGTCACCGCGTTGATTTTCTGTCGTAGTGGTGGTGGTTCTTTGGTTGCTTGTTCCGTTGATCTGATTGTAGTGTCCTTTGAGGTCTTCTGTGCTTTAGTTGGTTGCAGTACTTCTTCCGGAGTTAAACGTCGTAGTGTTTGTCGAGGTGGTGCTGGTAGTGGTGGATGTTGTCGTCCAGTTGGTGAAGTAGCCATAGGACTATCCGGTAGTGGTCGTGAACTTGACGTCGATGTGAACGGAAGTCGTGGAGGTGGTGTAGTGCGTTGTTGTTTTGTTGCGGGTTCTGCAACGATGTCGTCCATCGCATTCGTTTGTTGTCCGAAGTCTTGCGTGGACCTTCTTTTCTCTGACGGTTGTAGTTGCGTATCCAACAGTGTTGCGAACGATGGGTTGTAGGTGTTCCGTCGTGGTGCCCATGGTGTGCCGGAAACTTTGTTCAACAGTGCGAGGTCGTATTTGAAGTCCGGTTGTAGTCTCCGTACTGTTCGTACCTTTTGTACGCCTGATTCCGTTGCGACGTAGTTTTCTCCGGTTTCGGAAACTTTTCCGAGCCAGATGCATTTCTGCATCCGTAGGTCTGCTTTTGGAAGTTTCTTGTGTTGTGGTGGAAGGTAAAGTAGTGTCTCGCCAAATTCGCAGATTGCTCGCTCGTAGTTTCTTCCCCAGCGGCGTTCAAAGCTTGTGTAGCCGTCTGAGTGAATGACGTAGCGATTTACCGTCCATGCTGCATGTCGTACTATCCAAGGTAGTAGACAGTGCTTTGTGGACATCGTCATGCTGTAGTTGCTTTCAACCTGAGCTTTGACGACGCGGATTTGTCCGAGAAGTGTTCTATGTAGTCGCTCAACGCTTCCTTGACTGTTGCTGCTGTAGGAAGGTGAATGTCGTACACTCATTGTGCCGACTTTTGCTGCTGTAGCTTTTAGAAGTGCGTTGAGTGTGTCTTCGTTGTCGCTTTGTAGTATGCCTTGTGTTCTTCCGCACTCAAAGATGAATGCTTGTAGGTTGTTGACCATGTAGTCCATCATTGATGATTTGTCTGGAACCAATACTGCCATACACAGTTGTGTAGTAACATCAACTGCTGTCAGTACCGGTGTGGTCTTTGGGTCTTGTTGTGACTTGATGTAGGCAAAGTCTACTTGAATGACAGGTTGTCGTGATTGTTGTTTGTTGTAGTTGTGTTGGCGTCCTTTGCCTTGAATGCAAATTGGACACCAGCTTCTGTATGGTAGATGTGTAAGGTTGTGTTCTGCTATTTTTGTGGAGTGGGCTGCTGCGGTTGTCGTAGTCCTCTTGCTCTGTGTGCTTCATGATGCTCGTGTTGTTGTTCTTCATCGTGGTTCTCCTGGATGTACTCGTAGTCTTTCTTCACGGTAAACCTTGTTGTTCCTTTCCATTGAAATGGTAGTGCTGCGTTGCCCATGACTGTCCAGTCATCTTTGCATTGTGAAACTTCTCCAAAGTTGTTGTGAGTGATTGTAGGTCTGTGAGGTTCAAGTGTGTTGATTGGTGGATGTCCTGGTCCATCTGTTGGAGTGAAGAGACTTGTTCTAAGCGTTGTGTGGTGTCGTATCCAGTGTTCACCTTGTCTTTCCCAGTAGTCCTGGTTGTCCTCCTGTGCTGTGAGTGGTCTGTGTATTGTCTCCTTTGGTTGTGTGGTGTCAAGGTTTGTAGAAGGTGCTGCTTTAGGTCTCCATATCTTTTGTGGTGCTCGTAATTGGATCTTTGATCTGGTTGGTGGTGTGTCCCATTAGCCGTTGTGGTTGTGAGCTCTGCCTTGTTGGTGTGGTCTTTGATGTTGCTCTGTGTGTAGGTGTTATCTTTCTTCTGAATCTGGTTTCTCCAATCCAGTTGTCACCTTCTAGTCTTCGTTGTAGTTCTTGCTTGGAAAGTTGTGTTGGGTTCTCTTGTAGTTGTTCTTGCTCTTGCCCTTGTCTGTTGATGATGGTTAGTCTCCAATCATCTAGTTCTCCTTCTGGTATTGGGCAGCCACTGTTGTGTGGTGTGAACAGTGCTTTGCGTGGTCGTTTGTGTACTCTGATGGCGTAGTCACCATCAAGTTTCCAGTAGTCAGTGTTTCCACCAAGGATCTGTCGTAGTCCTTGGTCTGTGTGTGTGAGTGGTGCGATTTGTTCTTGTTGTTGTGCTGCTCTCTCTGTAGGTTGAATCACAGCAATGGATTTTCCATTGTCTGTAGTCATTGGGTAGATGTCGAATCCTGCAGGGATGTCGATCTTCTCTGCTCGTAGGTAGAAAAGTCCTGAGTGTCTTATGAGGTGTGCTTGTTGTTGTCCATGTGTGATGGTGCAGTGTCGTGGAGTGAAGTCAAGTCCATATCCTCTATCAAGTAGTCTTGATGCGCTGAGGATTGGATACTTCACATCACAAACGTAGTAGGGTATCATGATCCTGAAGTTGTCCTGCTTGTAGGGAACGTACTTGATGCCGTAGACAGGAATCTTCTTGTTGGTAACCGTGTAGAGTTGTGGAACTGATTCTCCACAAGGTCGTAGTGGAAGATCCGGTGCGTAGTCCTTTGGGCAAACATGTGTAGATGCTCCTGAGTCGATCAACAGGTGGTGGTATGACTTGAAGTTGGAGTACATGATGTAGTGGGTGATAGTGTCCTCAATCTTCTTGTTCCTTTGTTGTTGTCTTGCTGCTGCTATGTCGAAGTGTAGCTTTGTGGTGTCTTCTTGTAGGAATTGTTGAAAGCTCTTGCTGTGGTCGTTCCATGATGTTGTGTGTGTTGTTCTCTTGCCAAGTAGTGATTTGGATTTGTGCTTGTGTAGTCGTGATTTTGCTTGTCTGATGTGTCCAATGGTGAGGTGTGACTCGTTGATGCCTCCAATGTAGTTCGCTGTGTCCTCATAGCTGTTGTCATTCCAATCCCAGCTGTTGTCATAGTCGTAGTCGTTCCAGTTCTCCTCCATGTAGTTCACCTCATGTTGTCCTTCTTCTCCTTCGTAGTACCAGTCCCAAGTGTCGTTCACATCCTGAGGTAGTTCATCATTGTTGTCGTGATCTGCTTGTTCTTGTTCTAGTGGATGTAGTTCTTCTCCTTCTCCTATGTGCCATACCGGCACTCTGCAGTCTTGTGCCCAGTGGCCGGGCTTGCCACATCGATGGCATGTTGTGTAGTTGTTGTTTCCTTTTCCTTTCGATTTGCTGTAGTTTCCTTGGCCTTTGTAGCCTTTGCTTGATCCATATCCTTTGGATCCTGAGTAGCCTTTTCCTTTGCTCTTGTTGTATCCTCCTTTGTTGTAGTTTCCTTTGCTGCCTTTGTCGAATCCTTTGTAGTGTCCTTTACTCCTGTACTTGCCTTTGCTCTTGCTTCCTTTGTAGCCGCCTTTTCCTTTTCCTTTGCCTTTGTAGCTTCTTCCTTTCCTCCATATGTTGTCAACATCCATTGGTGCAGTTCCTCCATTGTAGTTTGTTCCTACTGCTGAAGTAGATCTAGTGAAGGCTGAAATCGTTTTGTAGTAGTCCAGGATGAGTGCTCTGATCTCGATGTAGTTCGTGATCTGTCCAGCTCGCAGTTGGAGGTGTTGCTGCAGTGCTCCTTTGGTTTTGTTGAGTAGTATTGCTATTTTGATTCCATCTGGTAGTGCTGTTCCATTGTCTTTCTCGTAGCGGTTGATGTCGTATTCCCATTGTAGAAATTGTTCTTCAAACTGCGCTTCGTTGAATGTGGGTTCCAGTAGTTTGGTAAGGTAACCAACGCTCCTTGTTCCTACTGGTAGGCTGAACCTGTTGTGTAGTAGTCGTAGTGTTTCACATCCGTTTGCGTTGTAGCGGTTTTGCCTTACTACTGTAGCTGCTGCTCCCTGACAGATGTTGATGAGGATGTAGTGTAGATCTCTGGAGAGGTCTACTGCTTTGCTTGCTTGTGTAGGGTCGAGTATGTGTGTTCTGATGTCTGTGTCCTCAATCTGTCGTGTAGCCACTTGTGCTAGTTGTAGCACCAGGTCGAAGTCTCGGTCTATGAGGCCGAGGTATGCTTGTAGCTTGAACAGCCATTCTTCATACTGGGAGTAGTCACCAGTGAAGAAGGGTGGTGGCAGTTTGTATCTATGTAGTCTCTGAACGTCGTTGTCTTGTTCTGTTCCTGCTCCCGTAGTTGTGGCTCCTACTGTGTCTGCTGTTGGCCCGTTCTCTGCTCCTGTAGTTTGTTGTGCTGAGGCTGATGCTGCTTCTCCTGACATGTCGTAGTAGTTTGGCATGTAGCTGCTGTTGCTGTGGTTGTAGTACTTACTGCTTACTGGAGCTCCCCTATGTTTAGGATCTCAGCTCCGCTACCACGTTAAAATCGGTTGTTACTTTGCTTACAAGTGCAAGTGCTGTAGTGTTCAAACAAACAGTCAACCAATGTAGTCTGCAGCTGCCAACCTTTTGACTCATGCGGAGTAGTAAGCTCAAGGCCTGCGGTAGTGAACATACATGCAACAAGAGTGCAAAGTGAAGCATGTAGTTTGACATCGCTCTCTCTCTCTCTCTCCCTCTCCGTCAAGCGTGCGGGCTTAGGGTGTTTTGGGGAAAGGTGAGGCAAAGCCCCAACCAAACAAGGTGCGTAAGGAGGCAGCACTGTGCACTTGGCATTGCCGGCGCTACTACTCACTTTGCACTGCGCCCCCGGTCTCGGCTTCTTGGAAGTATGGCTCAAATGGGCATGGGTCAAAATCTTGTACCCCCAGTGAACATCCCAATCCACACTAAAGTAGGTTCTAAAATGGGTAGTGCACCTACCCCGAAATGGGATACCATTGGTTTTAACAACCACGGCCAAATGGTTCGCTGAGCTTTTCGCGAGGCGCCAGCATGGCTTAGAATTGGCGGTGCGCGGCAGTCACTACCCGGTGTAGTTCAAGGGCGCGCGCTTTCCAAATGCCTCGGCGCAGCATTGAAGCGTGTCGCGGTTGCTGACGTGAAGACTTCTGACCTTCGTCAGCGCGAATTTCGAGGGCCGCTGCTAGGTTGGCACTTGAAAGTTTCGCAGGAAAGTTGGCTTTGCGGATTTCGCATTCTGCCGCTCCTTCGCGCTACGCGTGGGTCTTGGCTGCCTCTTTAACGGATCGCCAGAGACATCTGTGAGAACACTTTGTCTTGCAAATCCTGTTTTCTGGGTTGCGAGAAAAAACGACGCGACCTGGTATTTCAAGATGAGGAAGAGCGCTCAATGCGTAGGGTCTAGCAAGCTGCATTTGTCATTTGACATCTACTGAGACTTCAAGAAGTTTGCACAGCCTTGCATGCGCACTCTCAAAGGGGAGGTGTGGCAAATGTGCCTTCTGACCGCGCGCAGACTAAAAAACGCCTTTTTGATCAGGAATCATTAAAATTGTGATTAAGGATCCTTACCACCAGGTGGATAACCATTACCCTCCCGCCGGCTAACATGGAAGTGTGCAAACCCCCGTCAAAAGACTACTTTCCTTTTTGACAAGGGATTTTGTGCACTTCCATGTGGGCTGGTGGGAGGGTTACCCCCGTGTGGCCATGGGTCAAGACCCCATACCTTCGGTGAACATCCCAATCCACACTAAAATAGGTTCCAAAATGGATGGTGCACCTATCCCAACACATTCCCAACACGGGATCCCATTCCATTGGTTTTGACCCATTGCCCCAAAAAAGTCCAAACAAAAATATTCAACACTAAAATCCGGTCTTCCCAAAAAAGCTTAAAGTTCATTAACTCAGGAAGTGTGTTGGTTGGTGGGGGGGGTAACCCCCATGCATATTCTTGGAGACCTCTCGTTTTGACCCACACACAGGGTCATGGGTCATGGGTAACCCCATGTAGATCTTAGCCCCGGTCTCACCTGGACCTTGTTCTCCTGCGATAGCTTCGCCCAGCGCTTCAGAAGCTCCCAGCCCGCCGTGGCGAAGAGCCACGTCTCCGAGTGCCTCCCCAGCGATTGACCAAGGCACGGCCCCTTAGCCGCCTCTCAGACCCGGCCCCATACCCAAAAGGGTAAAAGGGCAGTACTGGGAAGCCCACCTCTAACCAGGAATGCATGAATTACCACACTGGAGGTCCGGAATTTGGTGCCAAGCACAGAACTCGGTTGCTGTCTGCTCCCCTGCTAAAAGTTTGACTTCTAGTGGGGTTCATGGAAAACCCGCTAGTTGGCAGAAAGTTAAAGTCCTAACATCCAAGCAAAATACACCAAAGATTCTGCTGTCCTGCAAAACAAAAACCTGCGGTGTTTTTTCAGGTTGGTTTTAAGGAAAAATTAAAGGAAACACAATTTTGCCGAACCCACATGCCCCCCTTCTCTCTCAGGTTGCATGTTTACTTTGCAGCATTCCCAGCCTAGTCGCAGGGCCCCCTGGAAGAATTACAAGCTTGGTCCGCTTGGTCCCCGATAGTGTTTGAGCGAGGGGGGGGGTTCAGCTGCCCAAGGGTTGTGATTTTCCGCGCGTTGCAGCACGGCGAGACGCTCTGGCAATCATTTCGCAACCTGAACATGCGACCTGAAAACACACGGCTGACCCATGCTCGTGCGAAATAGGGGATTGGCCCATTTGTCGCTCCAAGTGTTCCAGCCAACCAACTGCACCCGAACAAAGCCCCTGGCAGCGGCCAACGCCCCCCTTCCTCAAATGCCTCAGCTCTGCACCCGAACAAACGCTTCCCGCAGTTGGCAACGAGGCTTGAGACAACTTACCTTGTACTTGCTCTCTTCAGCATGCTCTTCCAAATGGACCGTCCGATCCAGCTTGACGCCCCCCATTCTAATCAACCATTGTTCTTTTCAAAAACTTGCCGGTTGTGCCTGGGTTTCCGAAGGTTTTCTGCAAACAAGATCCCTGGAAAGAATAGGAAAGGTGCCCCTACGAGTAAAATGTTCGCCTCCATTCCCCGAATGGTTGCCTTAGGTGCGTCTGGAGGCGGTGTTGGGGGCTTGTCGAGGCCTCAACAACTTTTGAGGCCCAAACCCTGGGTATGTCAGAAACAAGCATCAGCCCGCTCAAAATGAACTGAACCAGAAAAGAACCAACAAAATAGAACAAGTCTTCCCCTGCAAAAAAAGAGAAGGCAACGACAAAATCAAATCAGTTAGTTCAAAGAAGCCCCCTGTTTTCTATCAGTCCCCCTCCAAAGGTTACCATAGACAGTCCTCGCCCTCGCAAGACCGCCCCTTTCCCCACCCCTTCCACCCATGCCACGGACGCTAGTACATTTGCAGCTTAACCCACAAAGCCTACCCCAAAAGAAGCAGGTTGCAAACTAGACTGGCCATAGAAAACACCAACACTGAAAACCAAGTACCTCCCCCCCCTTTGTGGCCCCCCCTTTGCAACCCTCCCCCTCCGCAAGGAAACACCAAAACCGGATCCAGCTCCAATCCCCCCGGAGACATCCCTCGACTTCCACCGCACCGGAGCTCGACAGGACCATACATGGGCCTTTCGGAAAAATCCAAACCCCATCCAAACCCCAACTCAACCCATAGGTGGGCCTTTATGGAATAGACTCCCACCTAAACCAGCGAAACCCATCTATTTTCCAACCCCCACCCCACCTAACTCAAAATTGGACGGACACCCGGCCCGGCCCGCGCCTGCAGAGGTTCGGCAGCGTGGCCACGGTGACCAGCGCCGACAGCAGCACCTGGGACTTCAGCTCCCTCGGCCCTGGCGAAATCGACGCATCGCGCGAAGGCGCCGGCCGGCGAGGGGCCGTTTGGTCTCCGCGGGCGAGGGGTCGGACCTGGGAAAAAGGCGACCCTTCTGCACAAAACATCGAGGAACGAACGAGTTTGATGAGCCGGAACCCATACTTCAAGTACTATAAAATTACTCCATGGTTCTGAGCCATGGCAACTTTTGGGACCAGTAAAACTGCACATGGTTGCCAAAATTGGAAGACCACGGAGGTCCGAAGCTCGATTTGCTTTGGAGCTGCTCGGGTCCGGTCAGATACCCACCCCCACCAGTTTCACAGGAAACCCGATGTTCGGGAAATGGTCTCATTAAACAGGAAAATGATGCAAACCAGGACACCCCGAACGTCAAGTTCAATGTTAATTGGTGGGAGGATGCATATCCCCAGAAGGTACAAGTAATTACCCGTTTCGCAGTTTGCTTGTTTTTTGTTTTTGTTGTTTTTTTTTGGGGGGGTTGGTTCAAGGGCAGATTCCTCACTACAGCTAGGGGTTGTCAGCGCCCAAAAGAAGAGGAGTTCCCTAACAAGGCAACCAAAGAAATTTGGGATTGGTCTGGTCAGCCTCTGACAGCGATCCAGTAATGAGAAGCGTACAGGAAACCACATTTTTCTGGTTCCGGTAGAAGACCTCCAGGGACCCCTGGAAGTCTCCAAGCGCAGGGCGCCAAGCCGGGTTCCTCAAGGGCTCCTGCGTGCTCCCATGGAAAACCGGCATCTTGTGCAGATCCCGGTTCCTTGGGGCCTGGAGATCCCGGTTCCTAGGGTCCTGGGCACTTTCATCGGGGACTCGGGGGGGTGAGACCTTAAGGAAACGGACCAAAACCGAAGGAAGTGGAAGGCACTCGAGATCGGGGGTCCTGGTGCTACCTGTTTCAAAGCTTGGCATGGGTCCAAACGAATATGTTGCCAGGTGTAGGGGCATGCAGTTTTCCGATTGAGTGGGTTTGACAAAGGAAAACCCACCCACAGGCTGACTTCCACTTCTTTGCTTTCGAAACACGCGAGCCAAAAGGGGAGCACACATTTTACCAACAATAAGGTAGTCACCAAAAGTCTGAAAAAGGACCCCCCCCCGTTCGAGACACCCTCCCGCCTCGCTGAGCGAAAACCTTTTTGGCTCCGTCAAGGAGACTTACAAGCTCCTTGGCACAAGTGGGATAACCAAGAAGGAAGCCCCTGACGATTCCCTTGGCTCACTGAAAGTGGGGACCTGGGAGTTCCCACACAAGCTAAGTTGGCATTTTCACGGGGGGGGGGGGGGGGGTCCTGGAGGCGAGGCTATATACCACCTATACAAATATATATATATATATACGGGTGTAGTGTTACTGCCGTACAAGCTTATATTCATGGCATGTGAGCATCCATACATCCAAAACCCATTCCTGAAAAGCTGCCATGAATGAGATGTTTGACCCAACTACCGCTAGAATGTGTTGTGCATAACTGCGATGGATGAAGCTCAAAAGGAACGGGGAACGCCAGGCTGATGGATTTGTCCATCCACATGAGAGCGGGAAACCCCACGGAACAAAGAGGCCAGTGCAGTTTGGTTTACGGTGTCCCCACACGAAACCCCTGCCCCACCAGTGGTCTTTGGCGATTTCTGTGAAACACCCCTTCAATGAACAAATGAAACTCCTCCCAAAACAAGCAGGTGGACCAGACACAAAGAAACAAGTTTAAAGATAACATCTAGTAGCAATGAAGTCTGGCAATGTCAATCACAAACATTTGACAACAACCGCGATAAAAGCAAACACAAGACAAAAACAAACCAACAAAAACGTGAACCCAAGGCTGACTGCTGGGCGAACTCCGCGTGCGACTGGGGCTCTGGTTCCAACTGGGCCGCCATCGCTGGCTGCGTCTTGTGAAGCTGTGTGAAGGCCTCGACACCCAGCGAAACTCATGGAATCCACGGCGCCTGTAGGTGCATCCATCCCAACTGGTGCGAAATGGACTTTGTCAGTGTTGAGGGGGCCATTGCAGCCGAAAAACGTGACTATGAGTGACTATAGGTGACAGTTTGATGACGTTGGACAAGGGACCCAGCCAAAGGGAAGATGGAACTATACCAACCCCACCTCCAATTCATTTAAAAAAATGGAGATCTCCGAACAAAACAATTACGAATTAGCTTACTTCTTGAGTGAATTTCGCCGACCTCTTGACCTTCGATTTGGGATGCGGTTTTACTCAACCTCTCGCAGCAAAAGGCTAAGCTCTGTGGAAAACTGGCTGCCAAACGTGAAAAAATGCTCGGCACAACTGCCATCTAGCTTTCAAGAAACAAGGCCAAACACACGGGCATGAGGATCTAGTGGAAAATAGAACTGGGTTGCCACGCTCAAAGCTCCCTCCTCCCACCCCATCATTTGGCTTGGCTGCCCTTGCAACTCTCCTATATCAACTTAGGACAGAAGGGCACCAAGTACTTGTCACCCAGGACTCCATTTGCAAAAAAACACGGCCTACCACTTCGGCAAGTCCGTCGGAAGCGCCCCATTAAGCAACGAGCCCACCTCGCTGGCTCAAGCTGTCGGGGTCTCCCAAGTGGAGCCATCAACCGGTCAAAATGTGCTGCTTGACCGGCCGCAGCTGGTATGCTTTAAGGGGACCGCCAGCTAAGGAGAAACCCGTGAAGGGACCATTCCAAAGAAAAGAATGGACGCACAATTTGGAGCGCCAAACCTGGCAAAAGTAAGCATCCTTCCAGCAGTGCTAGATTCCCTTTACAGCCAACAGCGGGAAAAAACACAACAACATGGATTTCAACAAACAAACATAATTCGGGGTAGTGCTAGATTCCCTTTAAAGCCAACAGCTGTAGGGGGAAAACCAAAAAACATCTTCTGCCACCTCCCCTGGCCCGTCGGCTCCGAAACCCGACACCGCAGCGAACAAACGCCCAGCCGCCCACAGCATGTTGGTGATCTCGAAGGACTGGCACTGGCTCAGCTCGGGAGCTGCCACCCGGGCCAGCGCTCCGAAGAGCTGCTGGTCGAACCTGGAAGGCGAAACGCGCCTGTGTGGCAACATGCGCCGTTCTTCTCAAAAAGCGATCGCCATTTCCCCAGGGTTCTTGGTTTTTCTAAAAGATTCGGATCCCTGGAAAAAATGGAACTCGGTTGCGAATGGCTCAAAAAACCGGTACCAAAATGGGTTGCCCTTGTAAGTGGAAACATGGACAGAACCTGCGTAACCCCTCCTGTTTAATTTTGAGCAACACCCAAATGGCTATGGGTCAAAACCCGGTTACCCCCCAGTGAACATCCCAATCCCCACTAAAATCCCGTCTAAAATGGGTGGTGCACCTACCCCAAAATGGTACCATTGGTGTTGACCCACGGCCAAATGGGTAGCCGGCACCTGCCTTGAAACAAATGGGATGACCTGGGTAGACCCAATTTCTTTCGCATGGGGACTCCAGGTAAATGATGTGTGTGTGTGTGTGCGATTGTGTGTCCAATAGATAAGGTGACCCTTCTGGAATCCTCTCAAAACCTCAACAAGAACACACAAAACCTCAAAATCACCCTCTTAATGCGGTGTGAAGGGAAAAATATACTTCTATGGCACCAAATTGCGCGGTTCTGATTCCTTTTGAGGGCCCCTCAAGCATACCGTGCGTTTTGAGGGTACTATTTGGGTTGGCTTAAAGCGAAAGCCAAAGGAAAACGGCCCCCAAAATTTCCGGGTACTAGTTTGGGGCAAAGGGAGCGACCAGCGGGCATGAAGTGTTCAACATTCTCTCCTGGTTGTGTCTTGTCTCGGTTGGATTTCCTGGGCGAGGTCCTTTTTCTGTCACAAAAACCTGCCCGTAGGCAACGAAACGCGAAAAGCTGTGGTTCAGCGCTGCACCAACAACCACATGCTTCCCCCCGAATCCCCAGCTCCTCGTTTCGCTGCATTTCGTGGGGTGCTCGGAAGAAGAAGCTTCGGCTACCTGGGGTTTTGCTCACAGACTTTGGGTGTGCGTTTGTTGAGAGCCAGCCGCTGGGCATGGGGCTGCGGAGTACGTTCTTCTGAGAAGGAGGCAGCGCGGTTTGGCTGTGGTTGGATCTGGTCGGCTGGGTCGGCTCAAAGTCGGGGCCTAGGGGCCAAAAACATACCAGTGATTCTAGGGGTTCATTCCCCATTCTTTTCAGCCATCGTTCTTCTCAAAAACCAACCATTTCCCCAGAGTTTTTTGTGGTTTGCTAGAAAGAAGGATCCCTGGAAAGAATGGGGAAGGTACCCCTAGAGTAATCAATTTGCCCCCCCTTCCCGGTTTGACCATCCAGGGGTTCCGTTTTTTGTTTTGTTTTTTTTTAACCAAGGGAAATCCCTGGGTTCGCGTCTATCTGCCGAGTGACGCGCCCAAGCGCGCACAGGACCAGGCAATGATGGTGCAGCAGTTGGCCGGAAGTACTCCATCCTTGCCTTGGTTCAAACTGCAAGTCCTGTGGTACACGGGGCTAAAATATACTATTCTAGGGGCAACTCCCCCATTCTTTCCAGGGTTCTTTCTAGAAAACCGCCAAAAAATCCTGGGGACATGGCAGGTTTTTGAAAAGAACGATGGCTGAAAAACTCTAAGGTTTTTTTTGGGGTATCACACCCTGAGAATACACCCGCTGGGTGTTGACCCCATTTAGGCACATGTCCGGATAAAACCGTGTGATTTTGAACCATTCTGGGTCATTTCCACAAAAATGTAATCCCAGGGTGTAATACAAAAACCCTAAAATGGGAGCTGGGGTCGCCATACAACTAAAACTCAGTCACAAGTGTCGGAGCTACTAAAAGAAATCATGTAGCCCTTTCAATTCTGGGTCAAAATAGGGGGGCCCAAAAAATCAAGTTGACTCTGTTCGTGTCGCTTTAATCCATGCCACAAAAGGGTACCTGAGAGAAGCACACACTCCTTGCCACTCCAATGGAACCCAACGAGCCAATCAATTTCCGGAGTTCCAGCTGCAGAAAGCTTGCTCCCCGATTTTCGGGCTCACTGCTTACCTGTGTCACTGAACGGGGAAGCAAATGATGAATTGCTAAATGCTTGCAACTGTTCAACGCCTCACAACTCATTTGAAGTCTAAAAAAAAACTATGAGCGGCCAAATAACGCTCTCATAATGCCATTGTGCTTGAGAAGATTTGGACCTAAAAGTGTCCCACAATCCCATCCTAATTATCCAGGAGTGTTTTCTTCCTAATTAGTTGTTTTCTTCCTAGTTTGTTGGCCCCAAAAAGGGGGTATGTTAGTATCGGGGCGCTATTGAATGGACAGAGTTCCTTTTGGTTCCCGCCATGAGCGTGAATAAGGAACCCTGTCAAAAGTGGTTGCTGGATCCCCCGAAAATGGTGTTAGCCAAACCGCCCTTGTTCGAAATCATACCCAAAAGAGGCTCAACAAAAACCCTTTGGAAACCACAAACCAGCCACCAAACATTCCAAGATGTTCCTACCAACAACCAAAAACTACCACCAAAAACCACGAACAGAAACCACAACCAAACCTTTTGAATTCCCTTTAACCACCCCAACCCCCAAAAAGGTGAAGCCATACGCCGCCGGGCCCGTCAAGTTACGCTGCAGCTCCCGGGCCGCTCGCCCGAGTGCAGCTTCCAGCATCGCCTGGCCAGCAGCAGCCTGCTTTCTAAGAAAGCAGCTACAAGAAGTTCGACAGGAACCTGATTTTGGTGGGCATTTGGCTAGTTTCCTGTAGAATTTAACTTGTAGCTGGTTTCTATGATACTTCAGCATGGATTTGGACTCCGAGCAGAAATTTGCTTTTGAGGGTTTTCGGCATGGGGTAGGGGGTCCTTTACCCGAAACAGCCTACTGAACCACTCAAAACCGCCAATCAGAGGGAAGCTGATCATACATGGTTTCCTTTAATCCTTCCCTACCTAAAAGGGAGATCGATTCGGTACGTCAGCTAAGTGGTTGGTAAGCCTGGTGAAATAACCCACTTACCTGGTGAAATAACCCACTTACCTGGTGAAATAACCCACTTAGGACCTAGATTCCCATGGCTTTTGTGGGTTATAACCAGGCTTTCTAACCAAGCCTTTTCCCAGGTTGGTTTAAAGGAAAACCAGAAGGATAGCCACCCGTTTGGGGGTTTCCCTATTTTGACACGTAGCCACGTGGAACCCCAAAAGGGTTCCGATCCCCAAAAAGTAGAGGAAAACTTAGAGATGGATCGGCTTTTTGGTGAATTTGCTGGCACCTGGAAAGGAAAGCCTACGTAAGGATGTTTGAACCATGCTGCCTTCAACATATGTAAGCAGGTTGGCCCATGTACCCTCGCATCCCCACCCCGAATTTAGAGCACCTATCAAGAGTTTGGAGCCCAAGGGGCCGTTTCAGCATTTCAGGCCGGCAGAACAAAGAATTCGCATTAGCATTGACTCCATATAACTAGCCTGCCACCAATTCACATGGAACCTGACCTTCGGGGGGTTCTGGTTTGGACCCTTTTCCTGTGAGGGACCGGGTCTCGAACATCAGGTTCTATGTGAGAAGGGCGGGAGGGTACCCTAGTTAGTAAATGAGCAACAGACATTTTGGGGAACGGGCAGGAAGAAAGAACTCCTCCAACCAAACGGGGAACCATAGCTGACGGAACAGTTCTCATTGCCAGGCAGTGTGTTCAAGATGGGGGACCTCTGCTCCTAACGCATAGTGGAAAACCACAACAACCAACAACAACAGAAACCGGTGCCATCTGGCAACGGGATTCATTCAGGATTGATTTGTGCACAACCCGGGTAAGCTCGGTTTACTAGGCGAAATCAGTTTGTTTCATATATATATATATACACATACATATTGTATTATTGTATATATATATATATACGTAGATATATATATATATATATGTATTAGTTATATTCCTCCTGCCTTAAGGGGGTATTGCCCTTTATAGTCGTCCCCACAAAACGGGAATGGAACAATAACCGGAGCATCTCCACGGGTTGAAGCCGAATAGGTCAATGATTGATCAATCGCGTGACGTGTGTTAACAGGGAAACCTCTGCAGAGCGATTGGTGGACACAAAACCCCACCTGTTAAACGATAACCACCAAAGAGCCTCAAATCAAAAACCAGACCCCGAACTGGCTCAAGAAAAGCCCCTAAAAACGCAAGAAAAAAACATTAAGGGAATCCCACCAAACCAGTGATGTTCAAAAGCCACCCTTTGAAGGGGAAATAGGGTTTTGTGTCAAAATAAGCCGTTGGACCTGTTCTTTTTGAGGGGGGTTATTTACCCATGCCGAATATATTCCTCAACCTGAAAGATTTGGATCCCGCAGGACTCCTGGTAGCTCCGGAAGGCTCCCTCTAAAAAAGAAGGAGCAAGTTTGGATTTCCCCAGCTCCCGGGTCCGCTCCGTTCCTTCCACCCACCAAGCGATCGACCCATCGATCGAATCGATCGATCCGATCGATCCGCTTCGGGCCTCAAAGGTGCGGCTGTGGCAAAGGTCTCCTCAGGCGGGGCCGTGGCCGTGGGCTGGCAGTTGCTTTGTTCAAAGGGGGGGGTTGACTTGGGGGGGGGGTTGAGGGGGTTCACCTGGCTTGAGGGGGTTGAGGTTGACTTAAGGGGGTGTTCAGGGGGGGTTGATGGGGGGTTGAGGGGGGGTTGATGGCAAGGTGCTGCATATGGTTGCGAAATCCGATTTCGCACCGCTTTGAAACCATAGGAATCCAGGCATTTCAGGGTTTTTAGGTGGTGCGAAATGGATTTCGTCTGTTCACAGCACCAACAGCATGTTTCTCGGCAGTAAATATGTGCTGCAGTTTGAGAAGGCAATACTGCTGGACAAAACCCATTTCGCACCACCTAAGAAACCCTGGAATGATACCTCCCCTATAAATCCCACAAACAACGGTCAGTCTATGGAAACCTCCAGTTTCCTTGCGCAAAATGTTCCTCGCTCAAAGGAAGCCCAGCCGTCTTTGCGGCAAACCACACGCAATTCACACCTGCTCATTTGCAGTCCGTGCCGAAAGGCCGGGGAAAACCAAACCAGAAGGAAGCGCAGCTGCTTCCGCGCGTCGAAGTGGTTTAAAGACATCACCCTTTGAGCCGATTTGGGTATGAATCCCTGCACCCTGGCCAAGGCTACCGAAGCCAGGGCCCAGGATGTCCAAAAAACTAGTATGAGCTGCGAGGAGAAGCTGCACGGCAAGGCTGCGGAGAAGTGCGCGAAGCTTGTTGGTACAAAAATGCCTGCACAGGCTACCTCTGCAAAGGGAAGAACGGAAGAACTCATCATTCACAGGAGTCCATGCAGCGAACCAGGTTTGTTGGTGGGAGGTTAGGGGCGCGGCAAGTCAATATTTAAACAAGGAGTCAGAAACGGGTTCCCCCATTCGTTTCCCTCTCAAGTCCCTCAAAGCGCAAAACAAATTGGCTGCCATATTCCCAGAAGATATGGAGGCGGGCTCTACGAAACTTCCCCGGAGAAAAAAAACGATCCTCAGCTTCCATGTTAGCTGGCCCACATCTGGAGTACACTCAAAATGACACGCCCAAGGGTTGCTTCATATTTAGCCGGCTTTAAAGATATTGCTTCTGGAGTGTTAGTTGGTCCCGGATCCTTGAAGGAGACATCCCAAAACCACCTCACGCCTGGCTTTCCGCTTTTCGGCGGCTGGGGGGGCGGGGGATGGTTTTACTCGCCCAGATGTTCTCTTTGAGGGACCCGGTAATTTCTAGTTTTGAAGGAGACCGCTTGACTGGACTTACGACCCCTTCCAAAAGTCCTTGCCTTTGCAGAAACCAATAAACGTGACAGCCCTTGTCTTTTCTGGCTGAACAAATATGGAAATCATGGGAAACCAATCCTAGCTAGCCTCTTCGAAATCCCCGGAGCCTAATCACAATCCGTATTCCGCTTAATCCGCGTTTAGCTGGTAAACCCCCTAATCCGTAATCTGCGCGGCTTATGACCATTCCAAGTGGGCCTGACAAAGCCTCATACCAGCACCAGGCATCCACGACTCCATCCTGGAAAAGTGACCCCACTGGGGCCCTTTCACATGCGCTAGTGTCATTTTCGTTCTAGTGAAACACCCCTTAAAAAGCTGAAAAGCAGTTCAATCATTGGGGATTAGGTTTGTCAAACAAATAAACATGACAGTCCTTGCCTTTTCTGGCTGCAACAAATACGGAACTTACGGGAAAACCGAAAACCGGCTGGACAAGGCCCGTAAAACAAGCGTGGCAATGTCCCGGACAAAGGTGTCCTTTTTGGAAAATAGATGGGTTTCCCTGGTAGTTAGTTGAACCACCAGGTAAACCCAGGGCCAGGGCCTTCTATTTTTCCAAGCAAAACAACCAAAAAGGACACCTACTGTGGTTGGACAAAATCCAATTCGCACCACCAAAAAAATGTTTGGGTGATGCTTCCCCTCTAAAAAAAACCAACAAACAACCATTTGCCATGGTTTCAAAGCGGCGCGAACGGATTTCGCCCTCCGGCGCTGCGGCCCAGTCTCTGGCTTCCGAAGGCTCCGCCCGCGCCAGGCGATGGAAGGCGGTGGCCAGGTTCACGCCGTTCATCCGCGAGACGTTCCTGGACACCACCTGACGTGGAAAACCCGGCGGCTTGGCCAGCGCACCTCCCCCCTCCCCCCCAAAAATAAAGAAGAAGGCAAGGGACAGCAGGCGCAAAATGTACGATGGGACTGGAGAGAGGTGGGAACATGCAAATATATGTTGGGGGATGCGTTGCCCGAGCGACTACCAGCCTGCGCAGCTGTAACCTTGCCCTGCATATAAAAACAAAGAAATTTACTTCACACCGCTTAGTAGGCAAACCTCCCAGCTGAGTAGACAGTAGGATTCAACCCCCCCTCTCTTACCCTGCCCTCACCTAACCCCCCTCCCCTTCCCCTTGCATTTGGTGGTTTTTCATTCCAATTTGGCCTGATTTTGTTCTGGCTAGGTCCTGTAGAGGGAGATACAGCTTTGCTATTCTTTGTCTTGCTGTTGGGTCTGTCATGTTCCGTGCAAGGCTGTGCCAGGAGGGGGTCTGTGTCCAACATGCCAAGAAATGCAAAGATCAGGGTTTTTGAAGGATACATCCCAAACCCACCTTGCCAAACAATAACAGAATCCAGGTTGCTTCAAGGATACATCCAAAACCCGCCTGCTTTCCAAGCCGATCCCTAGATCAGCTGAATTTCCAAGCCGATCCCTAGATCAGCTGAACAAAGTGTTTGCTGTTCGGTGGTCCCAGCTGGTGCCTCATAGGCAGCTTGGGCATGTGACGTTGGGCGTGCATGTGTAGGCAAGGTCCTGCCCATTTCTAGCGGCCCAACAAATCCCCCAAAGCTCGGAAGCTCACGCATTGCATGTCTGTTGCAAGGGGTGTTTCCTTACACGGTGCACTCACTTGCCCGAAGCCGACCTTTTGACCGTTTGGTTTCCCAATTTGTTGGTTCATTTTAGCCCAAAGGTTAACCCTTCATTCCGTTGTCCTCTGAGCAACTGAGTGCCATGGCTGGGTTCGATTTTCGACCTTTCGCCATCAAGTGGTGAGGTTGGGATGGCGGGGCAAGCTGTGCCTCCCTGGAGCGGGTGGCGGGTCCTCTGCTGAAACAATCAGCCAATACCCTTCAATCGGAAGCCCACAGAGGGTTTAACAGGTTTAAACAGTTGCTTGCACCCTGCTGGTTGGAGCCCTCTTCACTTATGACCAGAGCTGGAGGATGTTGGAAGAAGCAGGAAGAGCATGCGTCCGCCCGCTTACAACCACTGAAGTTGCGCCAAAAAGGGTGAGTTTGAACATCACCTTTTGGGCCAACTGTAATTTGGCTTCCTCCAAAGGTATAGTTTTTATGGGGGGTGCAAGCTGATTGTTTTCTGGGTGCTCAGCACTCAGTTGTCCATTCTGTGGATCTTGAGACTAGGATTCTGCCCATGAACAGTATCAAACTCTTGATGCGTGCCTCCAACAAAATGTCCCTGTCTTGCGCCGCCGCTGAAATCAGCAGCTCATTGATCTTCCTCTGACATGAGTAGCCTTGGTCGAGGGCTGGGGCGTTTGCATTGGGCTAGCAGTGTAAGGCCCTCCGCCTAGAGTTCGCAGGTCCAGCAAAAGCAAACACTTCAGGTTTAAGTAGAACTCAGAATCTGAGGACCGAATTCTCCTCTGTTCAGACGGCCATGCATGGTATGGAGAGGGGCGCACCCCGAATAAAAGCGCTCTTTAGGCCCTTTGGTTTCGCTGTTTCTGGAGGTGTTGCTATTGGGATGGCTTGGGACGCCTTCAACAAAAAATGCTTGAAGATTGGCCCAAGCCACGCTAACGCAGCAGCGTACGTTCTTTGATCTGCAGAGCGTTGTGTTGCTTACCTGCCGACATGGGGCTAACTAAGCGTAAATTGGCATACATCTTATGCGGCTGCAGCTCAACAAACAACACTGGGGTGGAATTGGCTGCGGGGGAAACCTCTCGCTCGAAGGTCACCCCACGAGGCACGCTGGTGGCAGAGGACAAGAGAACGCGACGATGGGCATGTTGGCGAAGGACTTAGGCTGTAAGGTGAGATGGTGTGGTGGGACCTGCAGCATCCTACATGCTGGACGAGGGCTCTATCGGTGGTGATGGGCCAAGGGTGTTCTGAGCTGCCGAGGGAAACGGCGCTTAGCCTGATCGGTGAATCGCCACAAGATTCGCTTGCTGTCCAGGCGGGAGGCGGTGGACTTTGTGAGGGAAGTGGTGGAGATGCACCCGGTGTTCGATGGAGTGCGGCGGAGGAGGCAAGGATCAAGGAGCTGTGCGGCATATGGGATCTCAAGGCCATACGAGAGGAAGGGGAAAAGGTGAAGGTGAATCTTGATTATGATCACCGGATGTCGAGCTCAGGATGGAGATCAACGCCCGGAGGAGGACAAGATTGACCTTGCGGTGGTGGTCTTGCTGATCGCAGTGGTTGGGATTGTGGTGTATCGCCTAGTCAACGAGGCAGCCACAAGGCTGTGCGAAGGTTGAGGGTGGCTGGTGTTGAGCGAGGTACGCAAACAGAAGAGGAAGTCATCGAGGTGCCGAGAACACGAATGACTTCGGTGGCCAAGTCGTCGAGCTCTACCAGCGGGATTCCCTCTAGGTCAAGCTCACTGAGGAGACGCCATGGAAATGGGCGCTCAAGTGAAGGAGCCGGTCATGAAGAAAGGCAGCCTGCGGCTGAGGAGAATCCGACCAGGTCGGTGGAGCTGGAGTCGGAGGATGCTCGCTTGAATGCGAGATGGCGGCAGGAGCTTTGGGTGATGGAACAGGTCCTGCAACGTGAACAGCGACCTGAAACCGAGCCGGTGGAGGCGTACCTTCGTCTTGGACCCTCTCGAAGTTCTCCTGTGTCACATGCCCCTGACAGAACCTGCACGCTGTCATCGGAACTTGTGCTCCTCGGCCGATTCCAGGGCACTGGAGGTTGCCGTGCAAGTATCCATCTTGCCCGCGCCATGATTGCGCCCCTCGGCTTCTCTGTTGCTCTCCCGGCCAGCAGTTTGGGCAGCCCGTAGCAGTTGCGGCGCCAGTGGATCTTGTCTCCCATGGCTGTGATTTGGCCTGTGGCCACGAGGTCTCTCGTGAAGAGCGGCTTGAGCTGAGGTATGAAAGGTGGGAACAAGTGGCACAATGCCGCGTTTTTTTGGCTTTTGCCTGTCACTCCACATGCAAAAGGGAGGAGTGCTGATAGGTGAATTTGTATCGAAAAGTACAGTGAAGATTAGCATAGACAATGCAGCCGCTTTGATTCGAGGCGCAGAGGAAAAATCTGTGCCAGGAACGGTTGCCCATTCACATGTTGGACTTCGCGCTTGGTTGGTGTAAATTTTAAGGGGTCCAAATGGACTCATTGCTGGACAAAGAAAAACACATGGAACAATCGGGGGAGGGAACGCCTTGCATCCACCGCAAATCAACAAGAGGCTTTGTGGATGGATGCGGTTCTTCGCTTACAATGTTTAGGAAGCTCGCCGTAGCATTCACGGCGACGTGATTTGTTGATTGCCCCGGATTCCCGGTATATACTCCAAGACTTGAACTGCAAAAAATACAGGACAATTGCTAAATACAGCACAAAAACCCAGGATATTGACCAACTTCCTCTAGATGTTCAAGGGGCTGGTTCTTTCAATGGGAAGGGCAGTCTTCTTCCAACCCCCTTCCAGCTGCATGATTGTTGGAAAAGGGCACCACAAATACAAGGACCCTTCCGACATCATTATGTTGGCAAGAGGAAAATAATGAATTCCCGGTCGACGAGCTAATTATGTTTTAATGAAGCAACTTCTACCCTCCAAAAAAAGAAGACATGAGCAATCGGCAACCTTCCCTGGATTCGGCGAACCACCTGACTGACCTGGTCAGGTGACCCCAAAATTTGAGACGTTCCTCTTGGTTTCGCCTGAACCTCCCCTTCAAAAGACAAAGTTGATTGAAATTGGAGTGCTCATAAACCGCCTTCAACCAAACAGCGAGAAGCTGGTGTTCAAAGCCGCCCTTTGAGGAGCAAAAAATGGGGCACCGCACCGAGCCAACAAAAAGCCTGCAGCGAGCCACCACCCAAAAGGGCGATCAGGTACTTAATAAGTGATTGGTATACCGTTTTTTTTGACCCACTGAACGGAGATTTGCAACGGGTCGAGATTTAATTTGGGATTTTTTTTTGTTTTATTTTAGGATTTTTTTTTGTTTTCCGTCCTGGCTACTAAAATGCTGTAATTTACAGCATTTTCTCGCGAAATGTACGTATTTTACGCTAGTCCGTCAACATCATCAGCATCGTTTTCAACATCCCCCGCATGTCCAGCCAACATCGCCAGCATCACCAGCAAATTGGCTTCCCGCATCTCATGGTAAAAGTGAGGATTCAATTAAAGGCGCATTGGGGTTGGGGGGGGCGGCAGCCCCCCCATGATGCCCCCCCCCATGATGATTGAAAAAGTAATGATTCAACTGGAGGCGCGGGGGTGTTGGGGCGGGCGGCAGCCCCCCCATGATGATCGAAAAAGTGATGATTCAATCAGGGGCAAAGAGTCTAAAAATAGCGGGGGGGTTGGGGGGGGCGGCAGCCCCCCCATGATGATCGAACAATTAGGGGCAAAGAATCTAAAAAGTAGCGGTCGCATGATGATCGAAAAAGTGATGATTCAAATAGGGGCAAAAAGTCCAAAAAATAGCGGGGGTTGGGGGGGGCGGCAGCCCCCCCCACGATGATTGAAAAAGTGATGATTCAATTAGGGCAAACCAAATATAAAAAAAAAAGCAGCGGGGGTGGCATCAGTTCCTCTGCGGCAAGGCCTCATGGTACAAGTGAGGATTCAAATACGGGCAAACTAATCCCTGTAAAACACCTAAAACGTAGTTAGGGCCAAAAAAAATATATAAAAAAAGCAGCGCAGTTCCACTACGGCAAGGCCTCATGGTACAAGTGAGGATTCAAATACGGGCAAACTAATCCCTGTAGATCGAAAAAGTGATGATTCAATCAGGGGCAAAAAGTCTAAAAAATAGCGGGGGGGTTGGGGGGGGGCGGCAGCCCCCCCCATGATGATCAAAAAATTAAGGGCAAAGAATCTAAAAAGGAGCGGTCGCATGATGATCGAAAAAGTGATGATTCAATTAGGGGCAAAAAGTCCAACAAATAGCGGGGGGGTTGGGGGCCGCCCCCATGATGATTGAAGAAGTGATGATTCAAAAAGGGCCAACAAATACATCAAAAAAAAAAAACAGCCGGGGGTCATCAGTTCCTCTGCGGCAAGGCCTCATGGTACAAGTGAGGATTCAAACACGGGCAAACTAATCCCTGTAAAACACCTAAAACGTAGCGGGGGGGGGCGGCAATTCCCTCCATGATGATTGAAAAAGTGATGATTCAATTAAAGGCGTGGGGAGGGGGTTGGGGGGGGGGCGGCAGCCCCCCCATGATGATCGAAAAAGTGATGATTCAATCAGGGGCAAAAAGTCTAAAAAATAGCGGGGGGGTTGGGGGGGGGGCGGCAGCCCCCCCCATGATGATCGAAAAATTAGGGGCAAAGAATCTAAAAAGTAGCGGTCGCATGATGATCGAAAAAAGTGATGATTCAATTAGGGGCAAAAAGTCCAACAGATAGCAGGGGGGTTGGGGGGGGCGGCAGCCCCCCCCCCATGATGATCAAAAAAGTGATGATTCAATCAGGGGCAAAAAGTCTAAAAAATTGCGGGGGGGTTGGGGGGGGCGGCAGCCCCCCCCCATGATGATTGAAAAAGTGATGATTCAATTAGGGCCAAACAAGAAAAAAAAAACAGCAGGGGGGTTATCAGTTCCTCTGCGGCAAGGCCTCATGGTACAAGTGAGGATTCAAATACGGGCAAACTAATCCATGTAAAACGGCACCCCCCCCCCCATGATGATCGAAAAAATAGGGGCAAAGAATCTAAAAAGTAGCTGTCGCATGATGATCGAAAAAGTGATGATTCAAATAGGCGTGCATTTTAATCGAAAGGGGGGTGGCGGGGGGCCCAGAGAGGAACTTGCGATGCTGAGGATGCAGGAAGCCAACTGGAAAAGCATCAGGATGCGAAAAGCCAAAGCCAGAAAGCCGCCAAAAGCCAAAAAGCCAAAAAGCCAAAAAGCCAAAAAGCCACCTGCCGCAGCGGAACTGGCAATGCAGAGGATGCGAAAAGAGAGGAACTGTGAATGCAGATGATGCGAAATGAAAAGCCACGAAAGCCACAAAAACCCACGTAAAAGCCACAAAAGCCAAAAAGCCGAAAAGCCGCCGACCCTGAAAAACAAAAATAATTCCTAAAAAAAAACGAAAAAAATCCTAAAAAAAATGGCCCTCCATTTGCAACCATGGCTTTCGTGGGATATCTCACTAGGCTAATATACATAACCACTTCTCAGCTGCCCAGTGGCCACAGGAAAAAAAGCATCCTTCTTTGGTTGGTTCACTTTAAAGGGACACCCTCCCCCAAAACAAAGTTGAAAAAAGGAAGCACCCCACTGGTTGCAAAACTGGGACTCACCTGACGTACCCAAATCCATTCGCCCCGAATGCCGCCGCCCGGACAAGTCCGGAACTCGTCGTGACTCGTCCGAGTCACAGCCCTCCGCCTCCGCGCCGTTGCACGCGCCTTGGCACTTCCGCTTCTTCCGGACCCGGCGACGGTCACCTGCAAGCGAGGCGAAGCGAGGCGAAGCGAGGCGAAGCGAGGCGAAGCGAGGCGAAGCGAGGCGAAGCGAGGCGAGGCGAAGCGAGGCGAAGCGAGGCGAAGCGAGGCGAAGCGAGGCGAGGCGCGCCTTTTCAAGGGAGGCGCCAACATGGCGGCCGTCGGTTTGCTTTTACCTTTAAACCAGCCTGAGAAGGGTACCCCCAAACTACATATATATATATATATATATATATATACGTATACATGCATTCTCTCTCTCCATATATATATATATATATATATATATATTTGTGTACATTGGAAAAAGGAGTGTGTGTGTATGTATAAGTACACATGAGCCATGTATCTTAAATCGGTCAGTTCTCCTCGTGCTTCCTTGAAACTGACGCCTCCTTTCCCGCCCCTCGCCCGAATACTCGCGGGCCTCGTCGGACTCCCCGAAATCCGTTTCCGGTGAGTCGCTGGAGCTTTTGTCCCGGGGTCTGAAAAGGCAAATCCGGGCGGACCGGGAGAACACCTCAAATCGGGATGTTCCGTCTTGAGCACTTCATGACTTCCATTTGCTTTTCACCTTCGATTCCAAAGGAAATGGCCAGGACTTGTAACTAACACTTGGTACATATGGCATGTATTGGGCTCAATGGCGAACTATACGGTGAGCAGACGTTCACAGAACCGGTTTGGCATCCAAGGTCATGTCGGTTTTCCAGCTTTGACTCATGCTGCCATGGGGGCTGCTGCTGCGATCACTTTTGCCCATGTCGGACTGCGACACGGTGGATAAGTGGACGACTCATGGAACGGCAATCCCACACTTTTCAGGATCCCCCTAAACCAATCCCAAATTACCCTACATACCCCCTCTAAACCAATCACTGGGCCTCAACGGGGGCAGATGTCAGGATTGCAGATATCCGCGGAGTGTCCCATCCCTCGCCATATATACACAACGCACGACCAAACAATATGAGTGTGCATCAAAATAGGGGACCACACAATTGCGGTTGTCCTTTTGGTTTCCCTTCAAAACAACACCCACGGAAAAACCCACGCAGTGAACGCCGTCGGGCTTCCTAAAAAGCTCCAGGCGCCTATGCAGGTGTTCTCCTTCTCCGGCCTCTCACCTTGCGCCGAACGGAAGGACCGACGGACCGAGCCCCCGCGTTGGTCCTGAAAGGGAACTCCAAGCGGGAAAGATCGGAAGGAGCACCCGGTGGTTTTCTGTCTTGCGATTTTGTTGGTTGTCAGTTTGTGTCAGCCGTGCCGCGGGAAAATGGTAGAAGCTATATTGGTAATGTGGTAAAGCTATATTGGTAATGCCGACCCCATATTAACCAACCCCAGTGTACTAATTGGGGGGTTCCCTCCAAAAGTGATGATTCCCCACCAAACCCAGGGACACCCTAGTAATAAACTGGGGTTGACTAACATGGGGTCAACTGTGTTCTGGTCAGTTCTGGCTGCAACCGCGCTGCTCTCGCCGCCGGTCTTGTCGCTCTCCCACGTCTTATCACTCTCGCTCGTCTGCGAGACCTGGCGAGCCAAGCCCGAGAGGCTGCAAAGGGCCGGGGAAAGAGCAATCTGCACCAAACTGGTGTGGATCAAAATAGGTACCCAATATAGAACCCTGGTAAATGGAAACATGGACTAAAACCTGCGGTTCCCTGGTGGTTCAATTTTGACCCATACCCAAATAGTTCTAGTCACTCTGCTTCTTTAAGCACCAAAGTGATCAATGGGAATAGGCGCAAACGTGGAAAAAGTATCCAACTGGTGGCTTTGAGCAAGGCCAGTCAATCAGCGTGCGCAACCAATCTGCAAACTCCGAATGAATCCTAATCCGTAACCTGTGGGGGCACCAATAGGGAAGCAGCTACCATTTGGCAGGTTGATTTGGAACCAGGCGGGCCGGAAAAGCAAGCTGCGAATCGAGATGGGCTCGACAGATGGGAGCTGCTCTCAATTTCCGGGGCTCTTCCTGGGGTTGGGATGAACTCAAGTCCGTTAACATAACTTGCTATGATACGCCGATGACCTTCTGGTTGGGAATGGACGGGAAGGGGATTCCCTTAGAGGAAGCCACCAGTTGGATGATTTAAACCGGGTCATTCCATTTCCCATTTCCTGCCTATCGCACCAGCGAGATACAGCAACCGACTCGAAATTAGCAAACTGATTCAGCTTCTTGAAGGAACCCTTGAACAACCCTGCTCTTCTGCCGGATGCGGATTTGAACTTCCCAACCAAAAGAATCTTCAATTGCAAATGCACCCGGTAGTTTCTGTGATATCACTTGGTTAAAGCGCCGGTGAAATCAATATCTTACATGTGTCTAATTTGTATTTACATATACACATGTACGTGTAATATATATAAGTATATATATAAGTATAATCATATATGTCATATATGTTAATATACGTATATGCATTATATACACATTCGCACCACCACCCCTTCATTCCCACCCCTGCAGTGCAGTGATATTGGCCTCTGCGCTTAATGTGTCATGATCTGTCATGTTGACCTCTGCTTCATTACCTTTGAATAGCCATGCATATCACCTTCAATCGAACTGCCCCCGTTCCCTAAATGTTGTTTACAAAAATAGGTGTGTCTCTTTTTGTCGGTTTTCAAGGGGTTCCAAAAGGATAACACCCATTGTGGGGGGGGTCCTAAGAAACGACATCATCAAGTAGTTTTATTGAAGCCATGTTTAGTTTTATGTTCCAACCTTGTCTCCCGCCAAAGCACGAGCTGATGCGAGTTCCCAAAGCAAACTCTTGAAAATGGCTGGCTGGAAAGGGTTCTGCGGGGCGGGGGGGAACCCCCTCCCCAAACAAGTTTCACCTTTTGACCGCGACAAATGCAACCCCTGGGGCAGTGTAGAAACTATCTGTAAGAGGTTGCGTTCAAGCAAAGTGTGGGAACATCAGCAATTAAAAGAGATCCACCAACTGAAACAACAAGCGACCACAACAACAGCAAAAAATGCCTCTCTGCAGTTGTCCAGGCTAAGACCCCCCCAAAAGGTTTACCGGATGCCGGCTAAAGGGAAATGAGGAACCCTGAGGTGAAGCCAAAAAAGCCTGAAGGATCGAACTGACTCACTTCCTGAGTGGATGGGCCAACAAAAGTCCAAGCCTTTCCTTTGCCACCAAGGTATTTTTAGTCTGCCCAAAACGTTTTTCAAGTCCGGGTAAGTTGATCAAACCCTTCCTCGCCTTCTGTTCGGACTCGCTGACGGTCGTACTGGCCGAGTCCTACAGGTCGCGGCCCCGGTCACTCCCTTTTGGTTTCCACTTGTTTTTTTTTCTGAAAAGAGGCCCCCAAACTGGCGGCTTTCCCTTTAGTTTCCAGATACCGGCCCAAAAAATGCCCTCCAAAACGACCTAAGAAAGGCCCACATAGAAGGGAAACGGAGCCTGGAAATTACACAATGCTTGGTAGGCTGGCGGCCAATAATTCTGGAAGAATCAACCGATCCCATCCTCGTTGTGGCTTCCTTTCGGGAAAATCAACCAAGGTGATTTAGCACCATGAACCTCAAACTTGTAAATCCCACGCCCCAAACAAGGTATGTTGTCTGATTCTGGCGGACGAACCTCGAAATGCGCCAAATGTCGGACACTCGAAACCAAAGCCACCTCGAGCCCAACCCTCCAATTTGGATCGCAATCGCAGCTTGTGTGAATTGAGTCCAAAGGTCGGACTGTGGGTAAGATGTACCCGACATAGCGCACACATGGAACCCAGAGGTCTGCAGGGTGAAAGGCGATTTCCCTTTACAAGGGACGCTGTTGTGGGTTCCATGTTGGTGGACAGGATGGCACTAACACTTACCCTTCCTTCTCTCAGTTGCCCTTAAGGACCTGGAAACGCAAGGTTAACCTTTTGGGACCTTTACCAACAAATTGGTCAAAATGGGAAAACAAACAAGGAAAAAAAGGTCGGCTTTGAGCGGTCGAGTTCTTAAAACCCCCGGTGAGCTCCTCAATGGCCTTCGAGCTCACCCCGTCATCGACGGAGGGAAGGAAGTGCTCGATTTTCGGCGGGCAGGAGGCTGCTCTCCTTAGCTGGGTTGCTGTTGACCCCGGCACACCCCGTCGCAAAAAGTTTAAGTTTTTGCGGGTCCAATGGAAAATCCACTCTTTCCCACAAAGAAACCAAATAGGCATAAAGTTAGATGCCAGGAAATGTCGAATCTTTAAATTGTAGGAACAAGCCATTGTGAAATTTGCTTAAAAACATCAGACACCGACTTGAAAGATATAATGCTCCCTGGCTGAGTGGATGGTCCAAAGAAAGTCCAAACTTTATATTTACCACTAAAACCAGAATAAACAAGAAACAACGATCCGCCAAGACGTCTTGCGCGTGTTTGAGTTGACAATAGAAAGGGAGACCAGCAGCTGGAAATGCCCACTGTCCACCAAACAAACACCGAGAAAGGGCGATAGGATAGGCCATCTACTCCGTGTAGGGTAGGATAAGGCCCGGTCGGCATCGCTTTAACGTCCTCAGCATCGATTTCAACATCCTCAGCAGGCTTTGGTTTAGGCTGTGTTTAGGGTGGGTTCCAGGTTGGCTCAGGATTGGCTCCAATACCGACGACAGGCGATCCGCCCTGTTTGGGCTCTAAGGTGCGAGTTGGCGCTGGTGAAATGTCCCGCTGGGAAAACACCGATTCGCGGAGGAGCCCGTTTTGCAGGGGCAACCTGACCAGCAGGGCTCCCTAGATTTCCCCTCAAAACATCACCTTTATGCAGGGGAGCTCACCTTAACTGGACAAAGGTGATGCTTAAAACCACCAAGGGGAAATATAGGGCGCCCCTGACCAAAAAGGGAGGAAGTGAAAGGCAAGCAAGAACAACGCTCGGAACCCCTCGCTGGTTGCCAGAGCGCTGTTTTGGCAGGTCCTCTCCGACGCTGAAGTGGAGAAAAGTCCCCCGCACGGAAATCGAGTAGTTCTTGCACTCAGACACCTCTGGGCGCAACATTCCTGGCAGGGCTGAAGGTAGGAGACCTAGTGGGCGGGCTGGCTGAAGTGCTTCAAGATCCCGAACCTAGTCCTCAATGAGACACTGCTGCGAAATAAATACGACTACGATCTGGCATAAGGATGAAGAACTCATGATGGAAGGGTTCTGAGAACTTCTCTGGAGAAGAGTCAGGGGCACAAATGCTTCGCGGAAAGCCGGAAAGCCTCTTAACTGAAACCCAAAGGAACGGCTACAAATTAGAAGGCCAAGTGAAGTCGGGTGAGCAGACAAGGAAGCCCCAACACAAGGACTTTCATCAAGGGTGAGCTCGTTTTAGCCTGGTAAGCTCGTTGCAATTTGCCAAGTAGAATTAAATTTCACACGCCCAAACTCCAAACAGATACCAAGTAGGATAAGTCCACCAAACACATGTTTACTTGTTTGAGGTCGGCTTCATTTGCCCAGACGTGTCACCCATGGGCTTCCACCCAGAACCCCCCAACCCTGCATTGTTCCCCAACCCTGCATTGTTCATACGGCGGTTCTAGAGTGGTTGCCAACCAAAGGGATAAAGTCCCCCTTGCCTCCCCCAATGTGCATGGCTAGGTATGCCCAATTTTATTTTTGAAGGTCGTTTGGGCCTAGACGCCATCGACACAAAAAAATCACCCAGCGCCTGGCTCGAAAGAACCACCTACTGTGCTAGTCTTGGACCATAGTGGCTTCAGCGCGCGAGAGATCAGAAGATGAAAACGCCGTAGCGAAAGCCCAAATATCCCCGCCGGTTTGTCCCAGCAGGCAAAAGCAAACTCACTTCTTAAGGCTCAGCCGGAAAAATGTCCAAGCTTGTGTATGCAACCGTTACTTCCCACTACAACGATCGTAAAGTCCATTGAGGGAAGGCGCAAAGGCGACCAGGGGTTGGGTTTGATGCTTTTGGACATCCTCAGTTCCAAGTGGCCCCCTATTGAAATTCATAGCCGAACCTCCTGGAAAAGCAAGGTCACGAACGGGTTCAAGTGGGACAAAACCTATTTTGCGCCAGTTGGGACGTCACCCAATTGGTGCACGATTCAGTCCATCCACAGTATCCATTGGCGGTCTGGAAAGCATATCCATCCCCTTTTGGTCCCCGTGGGCCAATTCAAAATCATGGGCTATTTAGCAGTAACCTCGCCGCCAAGACTGATGCGTGCGAAATTCCGGAGGAAAAAACAAACAAACATGGCATTCGGATATTGGTCGCCCGCGATGGACCTGCAATGGGGAAACGATAGGGACAACTATGGGCCCAAATCTGCGCAACAAATCCAAATCCGTTTCATATTGCAGTCTACCTGAAAAATGAAAGAATTTTGGACCAATTTTGGAGACCCCAGAATCCATCGCAGGGACCTTAGGCCTTAGGAGGATGAACGGCAAGACCTTAGAACAAAACAGCATCTCAAGAGTCGCCATCGGAACAAGCCAGCAAACCATGAAAAAAAAAGAAGCAAAATGCCTCCACCGGGCGTTGGTGGCTTCCCTGCAAAGAAATGGACACTCGGCATGCAATCCACGTACCACATCCTTGCAACAGAGGCCTAGAAATCACAGATTAAGGCCAGGTCAACTTCGAATAAATCCGGACCGCACCGAGCGGATTTGAATTGGTCTTCGCAAAGCGTACCGAGTCCCGGATCTCAGAAGCGGCTTCCCCGTTGACGGGGGCTGATCTCTGGGTCAAGAGGTAAACATTTGAAGGGAGGCCCGGAGTTCGTGGCTTCCCTCAGGGGGATGGTTCAGTTCGGAGTCCCTGCATTCTCTGAGAAGCCAAGGCCCAATCTCATCCTCATTTTGTGGAGTCTAACACTCCGGAAACGAGAAGTGTCCGTACTTTTGAGCCCCCCCCACCAAAAACAAAAAAAAAGAAAGGAAAAACGCCTTCCCCGCATTCCCCGTGTTCCGCTTGCCTTCCTACTTAAAGGGGCACTTTGTGAACTAAACCACAGAGGCCATGGTTGAGCCTCCGTTCAGTGGGTGTTTTCTACCCGGCTTGCTAACCACTTACCTGACATACCGAATGGCCCCTGTACGTCGGCTTCAGCGCCTCAGGCCTTCGGAGCATTGCAAGTCGGGCCGCCACGGAGGGCGTGGCTTCGGTGGGGTCCTGCATGTCCTCGCTGTGGGCGTAGCGGAGCAGGTACCCCGTGATGGGAAAGCCGTTCTCCTCCACCGGAGCCCACCTGGGAACGAAGTGCTCATTCGGATTCGCACCCCCCCCCGACCACAAACAAACAAGCGAGCGAGCGAGCGAGCGAGCGAGCGAGCAAACATGCACACACAACGAAACCCAACGAAGCGAGACTAAACCAAACCAATGAAACGAGCAAACAAGCAAACAAGCAAGCAAACAAGCAAGCAAAAAGCAAGCAAAAAAGCAAGCAAAAAAACAAGCAAGAAAGGAAGCTAGCAACAAGCAACACATGCAATCCAACCAACCACACAAACAAACAAACAAACAAACAAACAAAAAACAAGCAAGCAAGCAAGCAAGCAAGCAAGCAAGCAAGCAAGCAAGCAAGCAAGCAAGCAAGCAAGCAAGCAAGCAAGCAAGCAGGCAGGTGGGCGGGTCAAAATGTTCTTACAACAAGGTGGTCACAAGCCAACTAATCCAACCAGCGCCAAGCCCCTTTTCAGGCTCCTGTAAAATGCGCGTAGGCGAGAACGCTCCCTGTGGTTTGTGGGTTTGCAAAATTGCACCTCCCTGTCGCGGGGTTCCGGTGCCTTTGGCCTCCCGAATCCTGCCGGAAGGCAAGGAGGATTCCTCCCATCCCCGAATAAAAAAAGAAGGCCTCTGCCGAGAAGGGGGTTTTTGACAACCAGCCAAAAAAAAGAGAGTCTGGGAAAGGGAGCTGGAACCTGACGAATGCGTGGCCAATCCGTCCCTGGCATCCGCAACAAACATCGCATGAAGCCTGCAGATTGCCAACATGAGGAGAACTAGGACAAAAGAACTAAATGTTTTGGACGAGTGGTTGGAGGCTAGGGTTGGTTTCCCATCTACGCTTTACATTCAAACCCCCCAAACTATCAATCGAAACCACCAAATGAGGGTTGCCTGACCAAAAAGGAACTGGAAACCAATCCCTCGAAGGGGCCTTTTGCCATGTCCCCTACTCAGCTTGGGAGACGAAGTATACGTTTAAAAAGCTTGCAAGGGGGCAGCCAGGGATATCTATTCAGGAGTATGTTGTAGGACCTTCCAGATGTCAAGGGCACGGGAAAAAGGAAGCGGGGCCTATTTGATGTTGGCTCCCTTTTGGCCCGCATTTTGAGGGGTTCCCAATGATGGAAACCTGTGTCTCGAGAATAAATTGCGCATTATGACCCCAACATGAAGAAGTTCCCCCGAATAAAAGCATCTGCGCTTGCCAAGCGGGGACTGGTTGGAAGATGGGAAAGGGAAGAATGGCCTTCCTGGGTCCCACATAGTCCCACATCTGCCATGAATCGCCTTCCAGCATGACTTCTTGGCAAGTTGCCAAAGACAAGTCCCTGCATCTCCAAAATCAGGGGCCCAACCCCCCCCCTAGTTCAACCAGCCTCCATCCTTTTCGGCTGAGCCCTGAAGGCTTTGAGCTCGGAGCACTTCTCCGGGCATCGCCCCAAAATGAAACCCACGGTTCCAAAAGCCAGAAAGCCACATGAGTCACAATCAAAACCTGGTATTAAACTTGTGCACCCCAACCAACAAACCAATAGTAAAGAACTGGCTGGGACTTTCCCTTACTAACCTTCACTTACCCGGATTTTGAGTCTGGCTCTCATGGGCTTGCCTTGAATCGGGAACCCGCCGGCCCAACATCGCCGATAAGAACTCCCCCGATCCAATCCCCTTGAGATTTTCAGACCCTCACTTCTGGCCTTGCTAGCTTGACCTCTTCAAAACGGAGTCGCCAATCCTCGTCCATCCATTTCGCTCAGGAAACCCTTTCGTACTCCAAACACGCCCACTGAGAAGAGCTCAGTCTGAGGAAGGGTGCAAGCGGGGGTGGGTACTTCAATTCCCAATCGGGGACTCAGTAATTGCTGAGTTTGCCAAGTTATGACCCACCGAACCGGAGACTTTCGTCACTCCTAACCACGGCTGTATGTAGGGAACCCTCCCCCCCGGCTTGGGCTGCCGTGCTTCAGGCGGATGAAGGACTGGTACACGTCCGAGGCCCGGAGCTCCTCACGCGAAATTCGCCGCGAAAGGACGTGTGGGTGCCACCCGAATCCAGGGGACTCCGCCCCAGAAAACCCCAAAAAATGGCCACTGGTCTCCTCTGATTCGTTGGGGTTTAGCCCTTTCTGATCCGATTTTTTCGTTGGAAACCGGTGGAAGAAGTTCAAGAAACGAAGAGCAACTTCCACCGGTCCCCTGGCAGGAGCCTCCAAAAAATGCCGATGGCGACCGAAGACGAAGCCGACGAAGCCTTTGAAGGTCAAGCCGCTTGCCCCAAACATCTGCCGAGTCCCGAGGCCTCATGATGTATGCCGAAATACATCTGCAAGCTTGCGCAGACAAATTTACACTGGGTCCTCCAGTTTTGGAGGTTGGAATAAGGGCACCAACTTCTTACTGTAGTCGATTTTAGCAGCGGAACCCCTCTCCCAAACAAGGGTGAGCAAGGGCACTGCTGGGGGACCTGGTGGACAAATATGAAATACACATACCCTCCAGCAAAAACCGGGGGGGGGGGTTGCCAGCGAGCTCCAGGGCAGCATGGCAGGGTACATAACGTCCCTTTGCCGAGGGAAAGGAACAAAGACATGGACACGGGCTTTTTTGGATGACCGCGGGGGCCTTCATCGACACCTCCTCGTACGAGTCGGAATCTACACCCCTGCATGTAAGGAAACCTGTACACCTTCCATATCTGGAACCTCTGACAACATTCAAGCCTCAACCTGGAACGAATTTCTTTGCTGTCATTTTAAATTCAGGATCCTGTTAATCGGGGGTTTGGTCTCTATCAAGGGTTTTGTTTGAAAGGGTTCTTTTTCGTTATGGGTTCAAATATTTTGTTCATAATTTCATATGGGTTGTCGTTAGAAACAACCTCTTGGCAAGGGTATTGTTCAATTCCGACATGTTTGGGGACGGGCTGATTTTAAATGGTTGTTGTTGGTGACAGGCAAGAACATGTTCAATTCCTGATTTTGAAGCGTCCCAACCCCCCCCCCCACACAGCGCACATTTTTCTCCGCAACGGATTCACTCCACAGCTTTGTCTTCCTCTGGTTGCTCTTCTTCTTCCATCTCTAGACTATTCTCAATCTCTTCTTCGGCCTGATCTTCATCCGGCTCAGCATGAGGCTCGACAGGTTTGGGCTCATTGTGTTTCTTCAAGGCAGCCTCAAGCATGATATCCTCACTTGACGGGATTTTCAAAGAAAGCATAGCTGAAGGTACAGACTAAGCACTTAATTCAAACAAGGCCAAGCTTCCATAAGAGCTGATGCGGCTTGCGGCTCCCCATTTTGGATTTTCAGCTCATTGAACACCGAATCCTTAGATCCCAGGTGTTGGAAGGGAAACAATGTGGTCCTTGCTTTAACCAGGGCACGGCAATCTCCTCCAGAACGTTGTCGGGCAATCCCATTTGCTTCAACTTAGTAGAGCAAAAAAGAAACCATTACATGTTCTGTTTGGTGACCATCCAGTGAATACAACCCCTTACTTGCAACTTGGGCACCCTGATAACTTCCCGGCCGTTCACTTTGAAACCCCAGGTCCCATTGGTCGAGTAGCGATACTTGTAGATTTTTGCTGGTGCTGCTGGACCCTCAAATTGCTCCAAGTTGGCAGCTGCTGGGCGCTTCAAGCAAGTAGCCTTCTTAGCAGGCGCAAGCTCTTGTGGTTCAGGGGCCATAGGTTGCGGCTCCTCTTTGGATGCAGGCCTCTTAGCAGGTGCAAGCTCTGGTTCCGGGGTCGTAGGTTGCGGCTCCTCTTTGGATCCCTTTTTCTGCGGGCTGGCGCCCTGGGATGCAGGCCGTTTCATAGCTTTCCCAGACCTGCCCCTGCCTCGCCCCCTCCCAACCTCTTTTGGGCTCTTTGGCTTGGCCTTTGCCTTGCCAGCTTTTTTTGGCTTGGCTGTTCCCTTTTTGGTCTCAGAGTCAGTAGGCAGGGCATCCTTGGACAGTGCAGGGGGCTCATCATCAGAGAGCTCGCTTACATCCCTGAGGGGCATGCCAGCCTTGGTGCTCAGGTGGTAGGAAGCTGTGGGGCCAAATCTTGCGCCATGGAAAATCAAGCCAATCAATCAAGTGTTCATGTAGCATGCAACAGCCGCCCACCCAGACACACGCACACACCACCCGCTTTGTTCCTCGAGTCCACGAAGCAACATCCAAGCTGTCAAAACTGCACGCCCTACTTCAGCTGCACAGCAGACCCACCAGGTACTTTGGTCTTACAGGTGAGGTGAAGTTTTGGCTTGAGTGGGGTGATGACCGCCGGGATCGACTCATCAACCTTCGCCTTCAGTAGCAGGGAGCATAACACACAGTGGCCAACCCGAAGCCCCAACCAAGTTGCAACAGCCCCGCCTCCCAAAGGATGTTGATATTTTCTGATCTTGGAATCTTGTCGAACTTGTTCATGTACCAAGCCCCAGCCATTGACAAACGGCAGCTTGCAATATCTGTCACTTCTTTGGGCACGAAAGCGTTGACTTTTGCTCGGGGGGTGATTTTGTAGCGGAAATTCAGCATGACCCGTTGGCCATTTTCCTCCTGTCACCATCAAGTCTTTGGTTGAGCCACATGTTGAGTCCACAAATCCAAATTACACTTGCCCTGTCCTTGTACTTGCTTTCCATGGTGTGGTCCACGGCACTGAGTTCTGGCACACCCCGTTCCCTGACAACATCAGCAACCACGTCAGCCACACTCAAAATAACTTTCTCATTCCCCTTCACAAATACCACCAGCGCAGCATCGCTCTCCAAGAGCCATGGAATGTGCCCGGTCGGCTTTCCCCTCGCGGATCCTGCAGGCAGGGGGCTGGGGAGGGCAGGGGTTTGTTTGGTGGTGGGCAGGTTGGTTTTCAGTTGGGGTTGGTGGGTTGGTTGTATTGTTCCACATTAGTTTGGTCCTGTGGCGATCTCCTCAAAAGACCCAACATTGAATCCACAGAGCTCGCCAGCACTCAGGGCTTGTTCACTGCTGCTGTTGTTAAGCAACCAAAGGTTCCCGTTCTTTGTGATGGTCAGCTGCAGATCGGTTTGCCTGGCCAGAGGTAGTGCCAGAGCAATCCTGGGTGCGGGAGATTTGATGAAAAGCACACACACCATGAACAAATGTGCAAGCAAGTGGCTCCTGGTTGCTCTGGAAATCGTTCAAGGATATTGCAGTAAACACCACTGTTTTTTGCAAGTCCACAACTTTGTCGCCATTCCACTCTGGGCTGGATTGGGTACGCTGGGGGTTTGGTGATGGCAGCGCCGATGAAGACTTTTGAAGTGCAAGATCACTTGGGGCCGGGTTGGTCTCAGCTTTCAGCGCACGCTTGATGCTCCCAGTGACCTCACTTTGCACACGGTCCACCAAGGTTTCAATACTCTCGGAGAAGCCATCAGAGTTCTTGTACTTTTCCAGCACCAAGTCTGGGATCCTAATCACAGGGCACAGCAAACAAGGGTTTCAAGGGTTCAGGGTTCAGTTCAGGGATTCAAGGGTTCAGGGTTTGAAGGGTTCAGGGTTGAGTTCAGGGTTTCAAGGGTTCAGGGTTCAGTTCAGGGTTTCAAGGGTTCAGGGTTCAGTTCAGGGTTTCAAGGGTTCAGGGTTGAGTTCAAGGGTTCAGGGTTCAGTTCATGGTTTCAAGGGTTCAGGGTTCAGTTCAAGGTTTCAATTGTTCAGGGTTGCAAGGGTTCAGGGTTCAGTTCAGGGTTGCAAGGGTTCAGGGTTCAGTTCAGGGTTGCAAGGGTTCAGGGTTCAGTTCAAGGTGTCAAGGGTTCAGGGTTAGTTCAGGGTTTTAAGGGTCCAGGGTTAGTTCAGGGTTTTCAGGGCAAGGTTGGCAAGCATCTTCACATCCCCATTCTCTGTGGTCAGCATCTCCAGGTTCGGGGGGGCTTCTTTGAACTGTGCACCGGGTCGAACCTTGTCTCCTGCTTCTGGGCATCCATCCCACCATTCCTGCCAAACGGTTGTTGGGGTAGGAGCTGAGCTTTGAAACTTGTTTTGAGTAGGGGCTGTCCTTCATAACCTTTCCAGTGATTTGGCTCTTGGCAGCATCCATCAAACCCGAGCCCTCTGCGTGTAAGGACATGAAGTGGACGACTGGGCCACCAGCTGATTCCACCAAGCGGTCCCGCTGTAGAGCCCACATTGCCTGGCCCCACTCGTTGAACCTTATTGGAGCAATCAACTGTTATCGATTGTTGAGGTCAAAGGATTGTGCCTTGAACTAGAAATAAAAGCTACCTCATGCAAACAAGTGTCCGGTTGGGGATGACATCACAGACCAACACAGGGGTTCCCTCTGGCACGTCCACCCCCTCCAGGAGAGCCTGCACCACTGCCTTGGTGCCTTCAATGCCACGCTGCTGAACCTCGGCTGCACAGGAAAGATGGGCGGTGATTAGGTTGCAAAGGCCAAGAAAATGTGGAGCACACTCCAAACAAGTGGGAGGCCAAGGGGCACGGAAATGAGCTGCCAGGGGCTTGTCAACTTCAGGGTTGGTGAGCTCCATCACTCTGGATCTTGGGATGTTGTTCATGCTCCCCAACAAGGCTTTGCATTTCGAGAACGCGTGCTGCTTGTGCCCAGCTCCCACCGCTGCCAGACCTTACTCACTTGTTTTTTCTTTGTACTGCCCAGTAAACTGATTTGCCAAAGCCGCATTGTTGGGATGTTTTGCGTTTGTCGCCAGCATGGCCACCACTGTCAACAAAGTTGAGGGCAATCTCATATGCATCCATTGACCTGCCAGTACACATGCCAATGTGGGCCCATAAATGCAACTGGTATCAAGAGGCAGTATTCCAACAATGTGCAGAACAGGCACGCCCCAACTTTGTCTTCCAAGAGCCGTCGGTGCTTCATGATAGTGAGCCGGTCAGCACTTGAGTGTGTTTGGGGAAGAAGGTAGAGAGCCAGGGTTCGGCTGTTGCCACCTGCCACAGCCATGCACAGGTTGACCGCCTCATCCACAGTAAGCTGGCCTGGCATTTGCGCTGAGCTGATGGCTGACACTTGGCCCAACATGCTGGGAGCACGAGCAGGCCACAAGGTGCAATCCACCACCAGTATGGTTAGCCTCAGTGTCGGGTCAAGTGGGAAGGAAGGGGGAGGTATGGTCAACCAACCAATCAAACATGTGGAGAGGAAGGGTGTGGAGTTATTACTAGCATGTATCGAAGCTGAGAAACGCAGTGCTCCCGAGTGTGGCTTGTGCAGTGACAATATCTGTTTGACTGCTGGCCAAAGTCTTGTACTCAATGTATTTCTGATGGACCTTCTCATCCATGAAGGCATGACATGCTTTGCGGCCTCTTTGAAACCGATCCTCGATGTATCTGATGTCCAGCGCCCCCTTAGCAGTAGTTCTCTTGGTTGCGGCGGACTAGTTGAAAAGCTGAGTGTAGGGCCTGCTGGTTGGCATGGAGCTCGAATTTCTGTGCCCAAGCTTGCAGGTTGGACAGGTCGTTGCTGATCATGAGGTCCATTTGTTTCCAAGAAGTCTGCAAGATCTGGGCTGACAGCCTAAGATCACTTGTTGGATTGAGAGTGCCCCAGACCCTTTCAGACCATACACAAGGAACTTGCCAGCCAGCAGCTGTGCGGCCTCCGAAAGCTTGTCTTCCTGA